CCCCTTACAGTCGGGAAATCCGCCGTAACTCCGCTAAACTACGGCCAAAACCAGATGTTCAAAGCACGTAAGGTTCCGTAGAAACAGCCTGTGTTTACGTCTGACGCTCGCTAACAAAGTTACATGTATGTCCCATATAGAAAGTATGGACGTTCCAGTGGCCACAAGGAATGCAATCGAGCCACACTACTGTTACTATGTGTAATACCCAAGCCATGGTGTGCAGCGAGCGAGGCTCTGTTCAAACAATCGACCTACAACTGCACAGTAGGTTTCACGCGCCTATAAGCCCTCGCTGGACTAAACCAAAACGCTCCAAGTGCTGTCTTTGCTAGGGCGGCATTGGCAGCACTACCTGGGCAGCCATTGATTAGCCACAAACACTTGATGCTCCTTATGAGGTGTGTTTGCCTAAACAGTTTTGACAGTCCAGGTGCAAGGGAAGGCCCAGACAGCTGCACTAATTGAGGATAAGTGCTACATAATTATTATGATACACTTTTCTATTGTTCTTTTACTCCAGGCAACAAGTGATTAGTGAACTGAGAAACAACCACCCACTAAAACTTGTAGTTCCCAAGGCAAAAGCCATAGAATTCAGTCTTCTTTGTCCAATCCTATGCATTTACACCTGTGCAGTATTGTCATCGTCCCAGCACAACTACGCCTCTACCACAGGGGAGCTCGCAGGAGGCAGCCTCTTGCTCCAGAAACAGCCAAGGAGCAAGAGACATAGCTCGCAGGCGGCAGCGTCTAGCAGCTGAGGACTGGAAAGCACGCCCTTCTTGCTGGCATCGCACGCACGAGAGGCACACCTCCAGCAGCGGAGGATGACAAACTATACTCCTCCCTGTGATCACCAGTGGCTGTATATCTGTAGTTGGATCGCTCCCGCTTGCCAAAAATGTCATCTAATAATTACATCAGCTCAGAACTCACCAGGAGTGTTGGTAGTAGTGGTGGCAGTGGCTGTATATCTGTAGTTGGATCGCTCCCGCTCGCTAAAAATGTCATCTAATAATTACATCAGCTCAGAACTCACCAGGAGTGTTGGTAGTAGTGGTGGCAGTGGTAGAGGAGGCAGGAGCTGTGGAGACAGAGAGGGGAGGCTGGGAGGTGGGGGGAACTGCAGAAGATGAACAGGAGAGAGAGGGCGTGGCTGACTCAGCAGCTGTAGGCACAGTGAGAATGTTCAAATTAGAGCCCTCAGTGGGTGGACTACACACATCATTTTATTAACCCTCGGCGCGCATGCAGCAGCGAGGGTTACGGTAGTCGTTCTGTGTGTGTGTCTGTCTGTCTGTCAGCAGCTATTCTCGCACTACAGGCTACGAGGCGCCCGTGAGTGATACCAACGTCTTCAGAACTACGCGAGCCTGAAAAATTATTAGGCAATTTTCCTGAAACGACTGCGTTCGAGAGATATGCCATGAAAACAAGCGAAAAAGCTAATATGCATATCGTCCTGGGCTTAATCTGCTCGCTTTGTGTACCTTGGAGGCTCAAGTAGTCACAACTAATGGCGTGTATTGACTCCCGCATGCTATCTACTAGTGTAGCTAGCCTGTGTCAGACTCTCTGCGCGCTACTAGCGTGAAGAAATGCACACTATATACCCCAGCCCATCAATTAACAGTACCGCGCATGTGCAGTGCGCCGAGGGTTTAGACTTCAGTGCTTTTCATTAGACTAGGTTCAATAGATTTAAAACATGCTGGATAAGGTGTCAGGGTCCTGCATGGCCTATTTTTGTCTCAATATGCTCCAAACTCATAACGGCAAATCTATCAAAGTCAGTCGGTTGGTTGATAACCTATGACTGCATTTGAAAAACAGAAGGAATCATTCTTAAGTGAAATTTGAGGAAAAGGTTTCTCTCTAGAAGTATTGACAATTTCTGTGACAGATCAAAATACATACTTGATATAGGAGCAGCTGCGGTGGCTTTTTTCTGTCGTCTTCGGTTTGTCATCTTTTCAGGACCTGGGAGGAGAAACAGTAGCTGTCACTGTAGCTGGAAGCATACTTGAATGAATCTCGGGGTGTAGCTAAACCTAAGGCAAGGTGAAACAAATCAACAACACCACTCTTTCAATGAGCTGGGACTCGAACCAAATGGCAAATGCTCCCTAGGCAGAATACCAGGGCTGCTAAGCAGGCAAGGCTAAATACTAACACAACACAAGGCAAAGGCAAACCTCAATGCTATGAAGCCTGTCTCTCAGTATGACAAACATACCTTCTGCAGGAGTAGGGAGCCACATCTTCTGGTCAGGAGTGAGAGGATGGGCCACGCAGTCTGGACTAAGGGAGCAGGTGAGAAAGCTGTGAGTGGTATTGAGTGTGGCAAGATGAGGGAAGGTGGAGCATAGAGAGCTCGGCTCAGGGCACAGGAAGGACAGTTCTGGTGTCCTCACCTCATAGTGGAGGGTTTTCATTGCGCTCTTCATTGCTTTGACAAACGTGTCGCGAATCTCCTTGTAGAGCACTGTGCTGTGCTGTGCACCCACAGATTGAAGATCGACAGCTACCTCCAGGTAGGAGGAAAGGGGATCGAGGAAAGTCAGTTTCCCGGGAAGATTTTGAGGCAGTTCGAAAGTGATGCTGTTCCTAGCTACCTGAGCTACCTCCCCATCCCTTGACAACAGCTTCCAGCCAGCCACAGTCAGCAGGTAGGAGATGGTGCAGCAGTAGATTCCAAGCATCGGGCTCTTCTTAGAAAAGTGGAGGACAAAGGAAGATCGGACGTTGTCCTGAGCAGGCTGGGGGTAAGGGTAGATGTCACCGACTTCCAGAATGCAAGGCATGAGGTATTTCCCCGGCCCAACCTGCGTGACAATGAAAAGCGACTTGAGAACATTCAGCAGGTCCTCTGGTGCAAAGTGGTTACTACTGTAATGCTTGGAGCATGCTTCGGACTTGAGGATTTCTAGAGTGAGAATGCCTTGCTGATGGAACTTTCGCTCAAGCCCGCCGAGTGGACGATTTCCCTTCTTTAGCTCGAGGCTGTAGGTGACAAGCTCAGTGATCTTGTCCAGGATCACCTGACAACTGCCAAAGACGACATTGGGCAGGGCATCATAGAATGATAAGATGTGGAGCTCACGCAAGTAGTTGAGGCACGCTTTCAGGGATGGGGGATCGAAGCCAAGCTTGGAGCCAATAAACTCGCACTCCTGCAGACTCAGAATCTGACGGTTGAGCTGCTCCATAAGCTTGCGAATGGCTACTTCATATCCACACCATTTAAGTGGGAGATTTTTAGGTTTCGACTGCGACTGCCTACTCAGAGCCTCTTTCAGTCGTCTTGCTGTCTCGTAATCTTCGTCGCTGGGTGTTCGGGCATTCACCCTGAACGTCACCTGCCGTAGCGACCCACCATTACTAATAACGCACTGTCGCAGCTCTTCTGGTAGGATCTCAGCGATGATGGAATGCAGGCGCTCATCCTTCTGATCAGGCGTTTCTTCGGCGCAGGCATCCTTCTGATCAACGAATGTGCCTACAAAAGCAAGATTGGGTATCTCCTTGTTACCACTGCGGCTGGCTTCTGACTGGATGGCCAGGAGATCATGACGGATCACTTGCTCATTGGTGAGGTATGACTTGTAAGGATCGTTGGCCTGCACCCCATCCTTGTATAACACAACCTCTCCGTGAACAGCAAGAGGCTCAGAGAGCTTGAAGACTGAGATGATGCCCGTGACAGCTGGCAAGACAATGGAGACGACCTCGTGGAACTGTGGCTGGCCTCCCGAGTCAAGCAGGCGGATGGAGTAGTGGAGAAGCAGATTGGCGAAATCAAGTGGATCACGGATGATGCCCTTGATACCTTCGTTGAAACGAGCAAACATACCCTCAATATTGTCGGTGTCATCTCCCAGTGTGGTGGCCAGGGAGGGCTCAGTCTCGGGGGTTGCAGCCTGGTGTGATCTCTTCACCAATTTTCTCAGCCCAGCAAAGAGCTTGGAGGCTATCTTTGCCAACTCGCCTTTCTTTGTTGGTGTTTGTTGTAGTAACTCGGGAGGAGAAGCAAGGAAAGCTTCGACTTGCTCCTCATTTTCGGCTGATGCTTCTATTCTCTGAACACCTTCACTAGTGAGAAGGTGTCGACTGGTGTGGGCAACCATGCGTGCCTGACGGTCGATGTCCACCAGTTCCCACTGACCGGTGAAGGTTGAGGTTGACACATCTCGGACGGGACAGAGGTGGAGGGACTCTTCCGCGACTGCAGTGCTGACACGAGCGAGATCTCTCTGTTTCCCGAGGAACATGGAAATGAGACTTGACTTGCCCACCCCTCCTGGTCCGTTAATAAGGAACAGGTCGTCTTTGTGGGGAATGTAGCCATCCTTCATGGCTTCTCTCAAGATTACTGTTGGATCTGAAATGATCATAAAATGTAGGAGCAAAGATGAAGTATTATACTTATAGGCACAGTGTTGAAGGGTGAACTGGTGAAACATAAACTACTCCAAAATTTACTTTAAAGTAAGCAAAAAATGTCGTCATTGATTGTCAGGTAAGTGGTATTGAGTGTGGCCTGATGAGGCAGAAGTGCATATAGATGTAGTTTTATTTCGTACATGTATTTTATTTCGTTTGAGCGCAGCGAATTAGACAGAAAATAATACTTTAGTGGAGGTTCTGCTGAGTTCTTACTTTGCAGGGACAATATGGAGACAGCTAAGGAGTGTTGTGCCACAAGGATTATTGTGGAAGTAGTGTCATGGAAAGAGCAGTGAAGGAACAGCTGCTTGCTGCTATTTGTCGGAGACTGACTGATAGTACATGTTTAGGTGTAGCTAGCGGGTTTTTCCACACTCAGAATTTTTCCCTCAGAGATTAGGGAAATTAGATTAGATTAGGTTTTTTTTTGGCTGAGTGTGGTTTTTTCCACAGAGCACTTTGATAGAAGGTGCTCTAAATAAATCAATCTCTGGTGTATGGTGTTGCGTTGTGTCTGTTGTTAGTGTTGTTGTAATGGTTATTGTATTTTTGCCGGCAGCTCTCGCAGTTGCATGCAATTCTTATTAGATATGTTTATTTACCACTGCTTAGGAGGGTTAACAGTTCGGCGCATGAGGCAGAACATCATATGGGAGTTAGGCAAATGTGTGTAATAGATGCATAGTATAGTCTTTTGGAAGTGAATGTTTAGGTGTAACCCCTAGGGGTAAGCAACATACTTGTGAGGTCACTTAGACGATGGCATGCATAATTTTGTATGGTATAATCAGGTGTCTTATTTCACGTAGACCGCCAGCTGTCAGTTAGACACCTGTTGCTTTTGGTTACATAACGTTCATAGTTCATTATGCAATAGCTGCTTTCCCACTAATGAACAACTACACCCCGCAAGCCCAAGACGTCTGCCTACGAGTCTTCGGCGGCACTCCAGACTTTCTAGCCTCTCAGGCGCACCAAAACGATGGTTAGTGCTACTGTCATCCTCCTCCGTTTCGCGCGCGCTCACCGCCGCCGCCTCGTAGTCTTGAGATGCAGCAAGCAGGAGCTGATCGATTTCAGAGTCTTCCGTCGATCCCACGTGTTCTTCCGGATCCGTTCATCGGCTGGCATTCCTCACCGACTCCGAAGCAGTATCTCGTCCGTCATCTGTGTCCCAACCTTCCACGCAGAGATTCCAGCGATCACCAGGGGAAAAATGAGTGGGATGGTCACCAGTTAGCACAAGCAAGCTCGAAGAAACGACTTCATCCTCCGTTTCACTCACTGTAGCGTCCGCCATCGCCTAAGCAAGTCAGACACCTGCGGCGTGCGTCTACGAGGTTATAGATTCCTCGTGGTCGGTCACGGATGATGCAATAGTAACCTCGGCTGCGCCTCGGTCACTATTGCATCATTCCGTGACCTCCCACTCGGAATCTATAACCACGTAGACGCACGCCGCAGGTGTCTAACCTACACATAATTTTTCACCAAGTTGCATAGCTTATGACTTACGTGTGTTAAACGTGTAGTCCGCGTATAAAAAGGGGCGTGCCAGGCAAAAATCGATTAACTTTAGCGCACACCGTGACAAAATGGCGGTGTTCAAACTACTGTCTCTTCACTTCCTGAGCCGCTGGCTACCACGCACCCGTTTCCACGCACTAAAACACGCTACGTTTGTGCCTCTCAATGCTGAATCAGCGCTTCTTGCGCTACTTGCTCATGAATGCGCTGAACAGCGCTTCTTGCGCTACTCGCACATGAATGTCTGCCTCCAGCGGCCAAGAAACCGAGGGCCGGCGGCCCACGTTTGACTGTCCAGCTAATGTTTGGCAACACTGACACGATGGCAGCGTTCAAGGAGCGAATGGAAGCTCTAAAGTCCGCTCTCGCTCCTGCGGGAGCACTGACCTCCATTGAAGCCGGTCGAGCTAATGGCGAAGCTCTTTGACATAGCTGATATTAATTATCTTGTTCTTTCCATCAGCAGAGTCCTGAGGAACATCATTGGAGGAAGACTGAGCCATACAGCCAGCTTGCACGCACTTGTTGGCGAGCGGGAGCGAGCCAACCTAGTCGTTCGTTCGAGCGTAATTTTCTGTGTATTTATATATTAATATATATGCGTTCGTACGTCGTGTAAGTGCGCATGCGCGGCTTTGTACGCGCTTCTTTTTATCCGAAATTATTACCAACTTTTTACACATTTTCACACACATGCCTCGCGATATGCGCTGATCGATCTAGCCAACCAGAGAACTCTCCTCTATTCGACGGCATGCTCTGCAACCTTCGGTGACTGACCGAGGCTGTACCTCTTTCCAGTCTTCATGGTTCCAAGCTGCAAATACGCTAGCATTGCTCGTGCACATACTGCTGCATGCCAGCTACCTGATGGACGTTGTCGGGCAGCCCGATCGATCGCTGCCTAGCCTACTGCCATGCCAGCTGCCTGGTGGACCACGACAGACAAGCTGAAAGCGTCAGGTAAGGACCGTTCTGCTCACCTGCTCACCGTTCTGGCAATTTACAATACGCATGTAACGGCGACAGGTAGATCTGTCTTGCTTCACGAAAGGAAAGCTGTGCGCTGACGGCACGTTATGCAGCCCGAACATCGCAGACAAATCCCAAGTTGGGTCGCTCCCGCTCGCCAACAATGTTCAACATTTACACTAGTATATACGTATTATATACTCGCGTGCGAACATTTTATTACCAATCCGTGTTACGCACCGCAGCTAAGTTGTTCCAGTGTTGCGCTAGCGGTACAAACGAAGGCTCCATACACTTGCCTTATGGTACGTTTTTGAATTTTACCGCCGCCATGTTTGTGCCAGGCACCGCCCGTTTTATACGCATGCGCACGGAAGCGACTCCGCCTCTGCAATTGCGCGAGCTGTGAGCGCGCAAGAAGCGCTTAGCAGATATTTTATCCGCGGACTACACGTTTAAGAATGTAGTAATTGATGTAGGAAAAAAACACTACTCGAATTAAACACCATACGTGTGTACCACAAGTTTTTGTTTTTGTGAATGCAGGTTACAAATACCTAATTTAAAGGGTTTACTGGAAAGTAGGCCAATGATGAAGAGGATCAACTTACAACTGCTAATATGTAGATATGTGGGGTAAAACACCAACATGAAGACACGAAAGCCACATATTCTTGGCTAGCGAGCGCGAACAGTTTTTAACGCGTATATTTAGAATCACGTCAATACAACCTTACTGTATGTGCAGTGTCCGTCCCCGCACACACGCAGGGTATCCCGCATTCTGCGGACTATAGGTAGGCTTGCTTCAGTCACAAATAATAGGACCACATGGATCACGTGATTAACTATCAGTGCATTTCTCCTGCACTAAAGCTCTGGGTGGTAACTGTATGAGTCGATGCTTATGGATAAAACACGACTAAAACAGTCCAACAAAAGTAGCAGACATTGGACCATGAGATGCAGCAGTGGAAATCCTTTTGCCTGACCTTCCCTTCTAAAAATGTATTAGAATGTGTGTTTCCTACATGTTATCATGCTGTACAAATCCTTTTTAGTACCAATCCCAGTATACAGTATAGCCAAAAACACAGTTACATACAGACCACGCATACATGCACAAGACTCTCAGGATCCTGTTTCCTAGGAGACAAAATTAAAGCTGCATACAACACCTACATGTGCGTATAAACAGACAAATTTTTACAACATCTATGAATGTACATGTCAAGTAGCACATGATTTTATACTGTCATATTATGCTAAAAATACATGCATACAGATAACATGAATGCTATACCATCCAACTCACCACTCACTAGCTCAGATTTGATCTTGGTACAGTTGTAAAACACATCCACTACTCCCCACAGATGGTTGTTTACTGGCAGACCAGATGCTACCTTTAAATAATATGTGGAAAAGGAAGAGAGACGAGATAGGGATGGTATATAAGGAATGGTATTCATAATTATGTACACATTGTGAGCATGCTGACACTCCCCGAGCCCGTTATGCTACCTTTTTCACACGGTGTCCATCGAAGAAGACATGAAGATCACCACTAGCAGTGAGAAGAAGTCCGACACTTTGATGAGGTTTGGGATAGTCGAGATCAGGAAGACCTGAAGACAGCACCCTTCCATTGTGATATAATGATGTCCCCCGATAGTTCCACTCATGGGGTCCAGACCCAGTCCCTGGTAGGTAAGGAGGCACCACATCAGGTAGAGTGGCAGTCACTCCAACATGCTGAGAAAATATGTAATCACATAACATGTACAAAATACTGTTACTGACTATATAGGAAATATTAATTGGAAGATCTAGGAGTGTGTCTGGAGTGACAATTAACACTAAGTCTCATTCCAGGCTCTGCCAATGATGAGAGAGACATGCACAACAAAGACACTTGTACATTTGCTCTACTGCAGAAACAACCTTAGTACGCACTCACATGTGAGAACTTGTTTATTAAAATAGGACGTATAAACTCACATTAATTTTACTAAGGGCCGTTAATTACACCACACAACAAAAAGTACGTAACAGTACAATTATACACTATACGACATGTTGTACACGAGAGTGGGACACCAGATGCCCAGCCTAGAGAACTGGGTGGTGGGTAGCTCATTCCCAAGGACCTCTCCTCTACCAAACAATAGAGTGAAGGAGAGGATGACATATTGTCCCACAAGGCTGTCATGTTCATAATTGGTAAGCAAGGTAAAGCCTATATACTAGTCTTCTGAATTGGCCACAATACACTAAACAGATTCTCGGTTAACACTTTACTGAAAATGCATTCGTCAAGTCAGGCACTTTACGCATTAATACTTACAACAAAAATTGAACATGAGCTCAAAAGATTTGATCACTCATATTAGATGAGGATCCTGCATACACAACACAATATGTTACAAACTGTAGCTGTCATAGTGGAGCTGTGTTTACTGGTCTTTGTATATAGGAGACTTGGTACACATCCACTCACCAGTCCACCACCCCACTCAGTGGTAGTCTCGAGGACGGTGGTCTGCCACACCTGCCCTGGAGGCAGGGGATGGACTGTGTAACAGACACAACCATTCCAGTTCTCAGGATCTCGCCGCTGGACGACGGAGTTATCACTTGAAAACACTGCTCTCTTTCCACATTTATTTCTATTGAGTGGAGCAGGAGTGGCGATCCAGTCAGAGACATCCGCTGCCACCGACATCTCGAGAGAGACGTGTGGGAGGTGAGGTGCGGTGTGTAGCGAGGAGGAGGAGGGGCTTGCTCGGAGTGATGTGCGCTAATTGGAAACTCGCAGAAACCGACACACATTATAATTTTGCCGACTGCATACGAGTCTGACTGATGGATGGATCATAGATTGTGCAAAGACTTCTGACAATTTGCACACTGCATAAAAACCGGAATTTCCAAGTTAAGTATTTGTGCCTGAAAGTTACTTGAAATCAGAATGGTCGTGACATGTACTGTTACATCAAATATGTACATTTCGTTGAGATTTCCTGGTACAGGTTGGTATAGTATAGGGCGCTATTTCCTGGTACAGGGTGGTATAGTATAGGGCGCTATTTCCTGGTACAGGTGGATAGTATAGCTATCTGGTACGGTGTGGTATAGTAAGGGCGCTATTTCCGGTACAGGGTGGTTATAATAGCTATTTCGTGTACAGGTGGTATAGTATAGGGCGTATTCCTGGTACAGGGTGGTATAGTATAGGCGCTATTTCTGGTACAGGTGGTATAGTATAGGGCGCTATTCTGGAAGGTTGGTAAGTATAGGGCCGCTATTTCTGGTACACAGGGTGGGATAGTATAGGGCGCTATTTCCTGGTACAGGGTGGTATAGTATAGGGTGCCTATTTCTGGTAGCAGGTGGTATAGTATAGGGGCTATTTCCTGGTACAGGGTGGTATAGTATAGGGCGCTATTTCCTGGTACAGGGTGGTATAGTATAGGGCGCTATTTCCTGGTACAGGTGTATAGTATAGGCGCTATTTCCTGGTACAGGTGGAGTATAGGGCGCTATTTCCTGGTACAGGGGTTATAGTATAGGGGCTATTTCCTGGTACAGGGTGGTATAGTATAGGTGCTATTTCCTGGTACAGGTGGTATAGTATAGGGCGCTATTTCTGGTACAGGTGGTATAGTATAGGTGCTATTTCCTGGTCAGGTGTGGTATAGTATAGGGTGCTTTTCACTGGTACAGGGTGTGGTATAGTATAGGGGTATTTGCTGGTACAGGGTGGTATAGTATAGGGTGCTATTTCTGGTACAGGTGGTATAGTATAGGCGCTATTTCTGGTACAGGGTGTATAGTATAGGGCGC